ATGATGATGATGATGATGATGATGATGATGATGATGATGATGATGATGATGATCAGGGATCCCCCCCAAAAAACCACACGAACGAATCTGTGCCCAATCCTTGTCACCCCGAGGAGAACGAATGCCGCTGAACATCGACCGGACCGAGGAAGACAAAATAGCTATCAAATTTGTTTCTCAGGAATCAAATCGGGCACGCCCAAATTGACATTAACTCATGAAAAGCTTCGCGGTTGTGCACATTCCGCCAAATTGGATGTGTCTAGGGCAATTTTGTCTGAATGGCGAGATATTGCTGGTAATAATAACCGCAGAGGCTAACAGGAAATTGGAGCAATGCTACTTATCCAAACTAACAGAGAAACAAAACAAAACAAAAACAACCAACAAAACAACTATATTTTTTAAGTACTGTCCAACTGTAATTTGTGTAGTCCTCCAACCCCTACCCATCCCAAAAGGGTTAGGCTACGTGGGTGGTTTGCAGGTGCTTTGGAGTGGTTTGCTTCTTCTTTCCTATAAAAAATCTTCCTTATCTTCCCTTCTTCAATTTTGTTTTTGTTACTACTCTCTGGTATTATATCACCTCTTGTCTTCGGCACTTATAATAATAACCTTATTGTGTTGCAAGTGTCGTAAAACTCTTACTAGAGCTAAAAGGTTCACAGATACACACGCTGTCTTTTCAAATACAACCAGGAACGAGGGAAAAGAGTTAACCTAATTTGCGATGACGAGAAAATTTTTAAAATAATAATAATCTCTGAATAATAATTGTCTTAAACGCGTGAGGAGGGCTTCACATATAGAAGAAATAAAATATAGCCTTGTGTATGGCACGAGGCCAACGTCCCTTTCAACGGAAAAAAGATGTTTTTTATGAGTCGGCAATTACGATTCAATGTCTATCCCTGTTATTACATGATTTTGTTTTATAGACCTGTCCAAGTGCGCAAAAGGCAACGAAAACTCTCTCAAAACAAAGGAAGTTGAAAGTACGCGATCTGAGCGATTTGAACTAGTACTGGGTCAACAAAGTTGTTGATCATCATTTTACCAATATAGCTAAGGCTAAAGATACGACCAAAGAAAATGGAAATATATAAAAAATTATCTCTGATGGGTTATCGGATGCTTAGTTTAAGTTATGATCTGAGTCTTTCGTAATGTTAATATTCTAATCTTTCATTGTTGACACTGTTTTCCATTTTCGGGTTTGGTTGTTAGTTCGTTTTTTGTTGTGGTTGTTTGTGTTTGTTTGTTGTTGTTGTTGTTGTTTTCGGGGG